AAGACAACTGTTGTCGAAGTCACTACTTCACTATGCGTTTGTATTCAAATGACCCAAAATGATTGTGAGAAAATGTTTCAGAGTAATCAAAAAAGAAACAACAAAAACGTTCATATTGCTAGATAGCAAAACGACTAGCAAAGCAAAAATTTTGGTGACTTGTGAATCATTTTTGTCAGAATATCTATGTTCAAATAATCTATGCGATAATTTTCTCAATTCATTTTTGCACGTTCTTTGAAAACAAAAGTCGTTTTCCAGGTTAAGTTTTTTCTCCTACCCTTTTTGAAATGTAAAGACACATTGTTGTTAAATTTTTCCAAAACCAGTATTATATGTTCACTACTTCCTTCTAGTAGATCTTTTGTCAAGCAGCCAGATGCCTTACTCGGAGATTACTTATTGATTGAACAAAAACTCACCTAGTCATGAGCTTATTTAGCAATGGCGATGTTGCAATGGCTCACTGTGCAGATTTCAAGCGCAAGTGCGATTTGAACGGTCAGTTGTATGCCGGCGGAGTCCCTTCACAACCATATACATCACCAATGAGATCATTTTCTGTAATTTTTTCATCTTTCTAAGTTCATTAATCGGCTTTTTTGATAAAAAATGTTTCCATATTTACATCCCGGATACACATTATACGCAATCCAATTACTCGTACAGTAAGAGATTTATTCCCTAAATCCGAGGGATGCAAGGTTGAGACTAATGGCTGACAAATCTTTGATTACGTTTTGAAGCCAGCTTTCCAAAAGTGCTGAGCAATTCAACCAATTTCAGGCTCAGGAAGAAGGTCAAGTCCAAATTTAGGAGATACACAGCTTTCAGATATTGTATAGACCCATATCTTATCTCGGTATCGGTTTAAAATGCCCAGAAAGTTAAGCCATTATTAGACAAAAAGTTTTATTTATTCAAGGCAAATGAAGTTCAGTCAAATGTTGCTTACTTTTGGGTTTGAATCATATAGCCAGTTTTTATATAAACGGTTACATTTTTGTTTGATAGACAAAAATTGCAGTTTTATTTCATAGCAAGTCAAATTTTGGGTTGAAAACTGATTTCTACACATATTGAAAATTTTTGGAGAAAATATTTTGCTCGAATTTTGTTGGCCTACATAAGAGGTTCTCTTCGATATAGTATGCGCATCAATTGCTCCCGTATTTTCCGCATAATTTTTGATGGAATAGGAGCCAAAAATGCCACTTTTTAGGGTAAAATGAGCACATTAAAAACTTGCACAGATTCGAGAAAAGTTGCAAATTAATTCAGTTATAAATCTAGCCCATTTTGTTCGCATTGCATTTTGTCCAACATCAACCAGTTTGTACAAAGGGGTTTAAAATTTGCTAGTCTGTTCGCTTTGTTTGATTTATATAAACCAAAAGTGTACATAGCTGACTTAAACAATCCGGACAAAACTATTTAAATCTCAAACGCGTTCTTCTCAAACTGGGTTAAAATACGACCAGAAGTGACGAGGACAAAATTTTCGTAGATTTTCACCTGAATAAAAGCGGTTTCTGATTTTTCTTTCAAAACGCGCAACCAAAAATTTAAACAGCTTACACAGCTTAACACAGTTCTGGAAAAATAAACTTGTAGAATTTTACTCATTTTTTGCGTTTGAATCGAATTTTGTACGTTTTTTTCCGGTTAATTTAAATCAGCAGTAGCATTCGAAAGATTGCCAAATTAATTTCTGTTCAAAACATACTCGCATTAAGTAGCGCAAAATTTTTTGGCTGCTTAGGGCTTTGTAGCTTCAACCAAAAAAGAGAAATAATCCAGTCATAATACTCAATTGAGAAAAAAACTGACGGATCAGAAATCGAAATCAGCGATGAGAATAATCTGATTGACTAGCAAAAACTTGAAACCGATATTGAGATTTCGATATGCTAAACTATTTTTCCTTAAGTACTATTTTTCTTTCTGCATTTTTTCTGATACGGAAATATTTCGACTGAATTCATTTGTTTTACCTAAAATTGAGCACGATCAATTTCAAATCCGGAATCTTAATATCGGTTTGAACGGTAAGCTAACCGATAATGAGATTCCGGTTTTGAAATTGATCGTGCTCAATTTTAGGTAAAACAAATGAATTCAGCCGAAATAAATCCGTTTAAGAAGAGATGCCGATGGAAAAATAGTACTTTATTTCATCTATTTGATCAGTCGATCCGAAAATCGGCGTTTTTGATGTGAATCGACGACAAATTTCCGAACAATCAAAATCATTAAGAATTTCAGAATAAAAATCTGATTGAAATTACACGTTTTTGGTCAGATTATTGAATGCTGACTAGTTATTATAGTTTTTGTCACACTTTTCTTGCTTCATGAGGGTTTACATGCAACCACTTAGGATACAAGGTAGAATCAGTAGAGGTGTCCCACTTCGGTCCTTGTAGGAGGGCTCCCAATCGCATCCGCAAGGTGTAAACAATGACATATAGCCCCCTCCCCCAACCCCTCTCTTTCCTAAGGCGTAGGGCACTGCAGTGGGTACGGCCAGGGGCTAAGAAAAACTAAGGTCTTGTATAGTTTCCTATTAACTTGAACAAAGAAAACATTCGAAATTCTAAACAGACCAGACATATCTTTTATTTGCCGTGATAGTGATGTTCCATTGACCTTTTTATGCAACCTGTATTATCATATCAATACTTGATTAAATTACATGTGCCATTCAATGGCTACTTAATTTTTTTATCAGATTTTTAATCAATAAAGTTCATAGCCAACAGATAGTTAGCAAAGAGTCAATGAATGCAAGGAAACAGAAAAAAAACGACTTGTTTTTTTGAGAAACTTCAACTTTCAATATTTGAAGCAAACAAATATGACCTTAAAGCTCTTTGATTTCACGAACAATTTATGATTGGCACTTTTTTGATGTAAGAAGTTTAAACCCAAAATGAGAAAACTGGATGAGGGGGTCATATATTTATTCCGCTGAGAAATCTGAAAATTTAAATCCACTTTCGATGTTAGAAGTCGGTAGCGTTTTTTTGCGACCTTTAAACTTTTGCAGCTCGATAGAGGAGTTTGCCTTTCTTTTAACACACAAAAAATCAAATTTTGGCGTGAATAAATTTTCAGACCTTTCATGAAAATCAAAAACTCATTACGACCCATTTAAGAGTCTTCACTAAGTTCATCGACTCTTAAAAAAATTAATCAGAATTGAAAAGAAGCTAATCTTGAAAAACTATAAAGTTTACCAACTTTCACAGAAACTGACTGAATTTCTGTCAGTTTTGTTCAAACATCTTAGACATAATAATTGTGGTTTCTGTGATTGGCAGAGAATATATGAAATGCAATCAGGCCTGTCTAAGTATACTCTGTGCCTATTGCAAACTATCAAACCAAAACATCAAACTTCAAACATTAAACAATCAATGTTCCTCGTTTTCTATTCAACGCAAAATTTGATGACTATCAAAGTACCAAGAATACGCCGTTTCCCAAAATGTCAAAAATTTCACGAGTAAATTCATTGTGGACTAATTATATTTAATTGGAAGTTGAGCTCAGAAAGTGAGGTATCAGAAACTCTGAGTATACCTGAGCTGAGAACGACTCAAATGGCAAAAATTAAATAATTAAGCCACTTTCCTAGTCTCAACAGGTAGTAATTTTTCAACAAACATTTTGCGCAAACAACTTATTGATTTAAACGTCTTACATTTTATTACAGTAAAAGAACCTTCAAAATAATCAATTTTCCATAAAAAATTTATTGTTTGAGTTCATACAAGCTGATATCATTCGTGGAGAAGAATAATTTTGAGATCAAACGAAAGTTCTTTTATTTTCACATAATTTCTTCAACCACTACTGATCTTCGCGTGAAATCGAGTTCTATATCACATGAAAACAACTTCTGATTGACACTTTTTCCAAAACCTACCCCAATTAGAAACAAGGATAGCCGGTTACTGTGCAAGTAGCACAGAATGTTCCGACCAGTCTTAAAAAATACAAAAATGTTTTCTCAAATTAGTATTGTTTTTTCTGCATGTTGTGATTAAAAAAAAATTTGAACGAAAAAATAGAAAGGCGTACTCGAGAATCATTGTCTGTAAATACTTTTTCTCAAAAATTTTTTATGTCGTTCAAATCACGACTGAAAGGGCTTTAATATGATATATCACTCAACCCGGTCCAATGATTTGTTTGTGGTAGCTAATTTTGCGTGGAACAAAAACTAAACCACACCCGAATCCAAAGTTCCCCCCGATGGTCGAAACAAAAACTGGATCAATAGATAATTTTAATAATTGCTAAGAAATCTGCGAACTAAAATTCACAAACAAAACTTCCGTCATTTACGCTTTTTCGCATCACTTCCGCTTTCTAACTGGAGAGCTTAAATTGCCTTCCTTTTAGCAAATAAGCTTGAATTGACCTTAAAAAACAGAAGCGAAGCGAAGCAGAGCACTTGCACTACAACACAACAACAGCATGGCAGCGAAAGATTTATCCAAAAAGATTTATCGAGCGGCAATATAGCCCTTAGTTTTTGGTAAACTTCCGTAAACCTAATTTTTGGTAAACTCCCGTTGACCCGAATACAAAATTCTTGTCAATAAAAACAATAAACAGTGATACAGTTCTGAATTTCTAATATTTTGATCCTTTTGTTTGTTTCCGGAGGGATGGGAAGAGTCGTAAGCACTATGCTTCTCTTCAAATGACGCCAAATTAGAACACTATGTCAATAAAACATAAACAGGAACCATTTTAGCTGAATAAAACTTGTAACAAAAACAGAAAAAGGAAATATTACAAGTTCAGATATAGTAAATTTACAAAATACAAAAGTAAATCAAAAACACTAGCAACAACGAAGATAATTCCGTGATGTGGCAACCAAACCGACAAAACGTAAGCAGACAAATACTAGGCCAATATTTTTCTAAAGCTGTATATTATTAACCTTTTTTTTTTTAAGAAACAGCTCCTGACCAGATTAGGACCCTAGCCGACACAGGCCTATACGCTACAAAATTATGCCAATACGCTAAATTTTAAAAACAACATTAAACCATTTTCGCATAATTACAGGAATACATTTTATTAAGTTTTGCGTTTATTCAGTTTTCACACTTCGGTTCACATATTTTCTAGAGTTCCAACACGAAGCCAATATGAAGAGATGGGAAATGAGCAAGAGGAAGGAACTGGTGTTTGTAGATGGGTACACGTTCCAGCTGTACTCTATCAAACAGACCAGCAAAACAACAGCAGGGTAGGGCAACCTGCTACTGCTGTAGAGCAAGAAGGGGATGGTGTGGTAATACCAGCAGTAAAACTGGTAGTGTAAGGTCCTACTACACAAGATGCCGATAAAATTGCACTCGAATAGGACTGAAATCATTTCACGGGGTTCCATCCCCGGAAACAGACCTCGGAAGGAGGGACTGACAATGTCTACTATTCGCAACACCTTCGGTCTCCACTTGAACCAAGCGAAAATGACGAGTAATGCTACATGGGTGACTAACAGAAACTTGTGAAAAATAGGGTTCACAAAAATCCCTTCGCCTATAAATCGCCAATTAACAGTCCATTTAAAGAAAAATACTCTGTTAAATTCAAACGCTTTCGACATGTAGTCTACAGGAGCATAATAAAGAAATGGTAGAGCCAGAATAATTTGCGAAGTGATTACAATTAACCCGAACTTGAAGCATAAAACAATTCCCCCGCAACAAGTGAGGATCACCAAAAATCCGGGTAAAAATAGCAGCGCATTCATCTTTATAGACAAAGCCAAGCTGAAAACCAACGCCGAAGTGTTGTAATAATATTTTGTTAAATACAGAATGGAAAGATACGCGAAAAATGTGCAAATGCAATCGTTGAACAACCTCAACACAAATATCGAATGAACTCGATATGATAAACCAGCCATGGTAAATAAGAGAAAAGTGGGTAAGGCTGCGCGACGATAAAGCTTGGCGACTATGTAAAAATTGAAAAGATACAGAATCATAAACAAATACTGGGCAAACTTAATATTTTCACCCTCGTTTGTTACTTTTGACAGAAATGAGAAAAGGTAGAGGAAACCCGAGGGGTAGACTAGGGGACCAGTTGAGCCCTTGAGGAGGGAATAATTATATGTTCCATTGAGGAAACCACCCACTTCTTCCATGTAAGCTTCCCAGTCAATTTCAGTGTAGGCCACAAAGTTAATGATGAAAGTGCAGATGAACAACTCGAAAGCAATGAGCATGTAAAGTATTTCCCAGAAATTATGCTTGACAAATCGAAGCACAATTGAAAAGCCACCATTGTTTGGCCCAACACTTGTGGCCTCCATGCTACCTGAAATTTTCAATTAATCTAGGTTCAACAAATGGAGTTGATGATAAGAAAATATCTTATCTTTTTACCAAACTAAGACAACATTCTGCAGGATTAACATGGAATCAAACAATGATAAAAAATAAAACATGTGCTAATTTTGTGCATGGTGTGATAATAGGACAGGCGAAAGTTTAGATCGGTAGTCAATAAATCATATTCGACAACCGTTGTCTTCAAAAGTGAAAAAAAAAACGAAATTTGCAGACTTCATTTTGAATGTTTTAAATACTTTTACTTAAAAAAAGGTAGCTTAAAGGAATAATAAAAATTTTTCCTCGGCAGAAGCGAAGCTTGGCTTCGCAAACACTAGCGATAACACGACAAAAAGCAGCTCTATAAAAAGCGATAAGAAAAATTAGAAATAATCCTCGAATTAGTAAAATTCGAACCTGCGACCTAGAGGTCAAGTCTCACACACTAACCACTCAGCCAAATATTAGCCACAAATAAAGCAGCGAACAGATGCTATTCAATTTCCAATGCTACAGCGAAATTTCCAAAAAAGTGAACACTTTTATTTGCGAGTTAGCTTAGAAAAAAAAGTTTCGTAATAATAGACTACGCTGATCACTAGAGTAAATAATACACCTACTTGCTGGCTTTATTGGCCCACAATTTGGCTAAAAGCGAAAAAAAAGATATTTCTTACTAGCCGTTATTTTGAAATAAACCGCAACAACTTGAGTACTTCTCTTTTAGAACTTTAATAAGCTTATGGTTATTTCGATCGAAAAAATTTGGCCGGAACCTGTAACTACTTCGAATCCGTAAACATTCATTAAAAAAAACTTGATTAAAAATATTGAACACAACAGTAACTGTTTATGCCACAAATATATTAAAAATAGGACATATGTAATCATCAAAAAAATTGAAATATTCAACAGAAACATAAAAATCAAAAAACAGATTTGAATTTCTCGAGATTCAAACCTTGCATTGCAAAAAAGAAACAGATTACTACAAAATAGGGCCTAGGAAATTAGACGATAACTCTTTGTGAAGTTAGACGATAACTGGTCCAACGAAGTTTTTAGTTTTCAATGAAGTTACACGATTATGTACAAAAAAAGTATATGATCACAGAACTGATCAAAATGATTTTTGTAAGTTGATTATAAAACATTTAATCGGAACAATTAACTATACAACTGTGACATTTATAACCTGATTTGTAGTTGGACCAATACTTACTCAACCAAAGGTTAATTTTAAACATGTTAACACATTTCTCGCAATTTACACGCAAGTTATCGTCTAAATTCCGTTATTTTCTAATCGTCTAACTGGCTTGTCGTCCAATTGTTTGAACCCCTTATATATAACTGAGTAGTTGATCAGATGTAATTGCACAGTTTTAACGACTAATAATAGAAAAACGAAGGTCGAGTAGATTTCCGTGGACTCAAAACCTACCAAAAACCAAAAAAATATAGAAGTAACATAACATACAAAACACTCTCTAGGACTCTAAGCCGGAACATAAGCAAAAATGAGCAAAATTATGCGCTCAGCTACCTGCATCAAAAAACATATGACAAACAAATCTGGTTGCTCCATTCGGAAATCGATTGAGAAACGAGCAAAAAATACGTCAGGGAATATGAAACAAAATTTTTCTTCTAAAAAATTGCTATCTTTTTTATTTTCAGTTTTTTGCTGTGTAAAGGGGAATCTGCGAGCTTGAATTTGAATTACCTTCAACTGTTTAATCAAAATCCAGTGAGACTAGATGATATTAAAAAATCACATTACGCAAGCCAGCCGATAAAATTAAAGCCGATACCCAACAGTTGAGAATTAAATCCGATACCCAACCAGTTCATAAACGTATGCACGAAAATACAAATCATACACAAGCGCAATAGCGATTCAAGCAGCTACATAGGCTTATAAATTGCCAACGCCATTCAGCAAAATTGCCACCAAATACAAATAGAGTCAATTTTGCAAGTAATAATTTGGAATATAGCTAACTGAAGGCATCCATATTAATTTTGCATGTAAGAAATCTCAAAGCATAGAGCCACATTTTGTAAAAATTGTGCATTTCAAAAAACTGCAAGGTATATTGAGCTAGAAAATTTCTGAAATCGAGTCTTCATTATTTGTTATGTTGTTTGAAACAAATCACTTTTTTCGGTTTATTTCATGAATTAAAAGTGCTTCAACTGTGTTAACTTATTACTATTCGAATTTCAAAGCACATGCTATGAAAAAGCTGTAAAGGTGCCCCAAAACTGAACTGTGTCAGAAAATTTGTTCATTTTGTCTGAACACTGAAAAACTCGCAGATTTTTTTCAATATTGGGACAACTTTTAGAATTATTTTTGGAATCCGAATCAAAACCAACAGGGATTTAACATGATACAAGATCGGATAAAAAATCGAGCAGCATCCAGAGTTGATCCCCAGACCTTCTATTGCTCATACTAATTAAAATCGCGAATTGAATTAAGCACAGAAAACACACCGAAGAAAGCAAATTATGGTTGAAACAAAAACCTGGTAATGTAACACATGCTCTTCTTTAAAAATCCAGAGCGCAAAAAGAGATAAGAACAAATTTTGAAACTTTTACTGAGAAGCAAAAACAAAACACATTTCAAAACTCAATATTTAAAAAAAAGCTCAAAGACTAGTTGCAAATCAGGGATACATTAAAATCGACTAATCGATCACATTATCTTTGTACAATTAATTTTAGAAACCCAATTCCGCAGCCAGTAACGATTACAAGATACAGTCTTTCTCACTAGAGAGCCACCCAACTTACCTCACTAGGTGGCTTCCTAACCTGGGCAAGTAACTTTTGATAAATTTTAGAGTTCAGAAAACTAGCATGTCACTCGCACCTACGTTGCTTTAAGCAGAAAGCTGAACCGGGAAACCGATTTCTAAACTATACAAAATAAAGCAACGCAATGCACTGCAATCGTTAAGAAAAAGTCGACTGGGTTTATCTAACATAATTTGAACGATTGTTTTTTTAAAACAAAATTTAGGTGCTTTTTCACAAGACTGATCATATCCTCAAATTATTGGGTTCCAGATCTCCATACTTAAGTTCGGTAATCAGACCCTAGGAACCCTGCCGAAAGCAAGCAACTGCACTTTCCATATGTAAAAAAAGTTCCAACATAAAAAGTTTTTCTTTGTACAATAATTAATTATTTAAACAGATTCTTGTTTAAATTAGTTGTTCCATTTCATTAGTCCGTGTGAGCATCATTAGCTGCTACGTTCGAGCATCATTAGCTGCTATTAATAAGTTGAACCAGCGTAATTATTCAATAAATATTTGGGATTTTTTTTGGAAAGAAAAGTTAGTGAAAAATATTGAAAAAATAAAAAATCTGAAAATTTTTATGCTTTCATAATTATACCGCTCGCGGACTAAATCCCCAAGGATATAACCCCAGCGGATATAATCCCAGCGGATATAATCCCCCACCACTAAATCCCCATTGGGCCAAACCCCCCTGTGACAAAATTGTTCATATTGTATTCAGTATGATGGAAAACAATTTGTACACATTATACGATTTTATCCTTCTATTGATTCCATTTTGAATCAAGTTCCATAAAAACATGCATCGCCATTTTGACATTACTTTTCAACAGCTTTAAGATTCCAACTTTCAGTTGACTCCCTATAAGAATGAGCTTTGATTGCAAAAATTAAAAAGCCACGTGGCACAGTCAGTATGACAAGTGAATGGAAAATAATGTTGATTCCTTCAGCGTGAGTTCGAATCCCAAATATGAGATTTTGTGCAATCGATGTAAAGGTTTGTTAAATTTACCCCCAGGGGTCAAAAATCCCGCGCTTCCACTAAGATGGGGGTGCGGGATGGTGTGAAAGGAAGGATTAGAATAATCCGACATGAAAACCGCAGCCAGCCACCGATCCCAACAGGATTCGATTTTGAACTGCCTGTTAAATACATGCAAACCATGAATGGAGAGGATTTTCTTCTAGAAGATTTGACATTTCCAGGAACCAGTTAATGATATTTGGTGTTCGCAACCAGCAAAAACATCAAAATTTTTAACTCTTATGGAAACTGGTTTATCGATGAAACCTTTAAAAGCTGTCCTGATAACTTCTACCGAATATACACTGTCTACTGCTTCGTAGATGGAATTTTTCCATGTATCTATGCCCTTCTCCCTGATGAACGAAATGAAACAAACAACGCTTTCTGGTCGAACTTGAAAGCAGATATCGTCCCCCCAGTTCAATCATGGACTTTGAAATGACTTGCAACAATTCTGTGGGTGACAACTTTCCAGACGCAGAAATCAAAGGTTGTTTCTTTCACTTCTCGCAAGCCATTTACAGAAAGATACTCGAATTTGGTTATGCTGTACAGAATCGCGAGGACAAAGAATGCAACTTAGCTATACGTCTTTTAGCTGCTCTTGCGTTTGCCCCGCCCTTACATATAGAAGCCCGGTATAAACAAATACTAGTAACTTGCCACATTCCTGACGACATCAAGAACATTTTGAGGACACCTTTGTAGGCAAAAAAACGCGAAACTCGACGAGACGGAAATCGCGATTCGATATGGATATGAGGAACGTTTACCTCAGGACCATTGACGACCTCCTCAGGACAAACAATGCCCTTGAAGGATTTCACTGCGGATTCGAATCCATGCTCCAAATGTCAAATCCTGACTTATGGAAATTCATTCAGGCCATTCAGAGGCAGCAGTCACTGCAAACTTTTAGTTTCGCTCAAATGCAGCTCGGCAAGAAAGTTCACACAAGGAAAGAGGATAATTTTGGGGGGATAAAGAGAATTGTATGCTCTGCCGCTAACAACAAAGAGTTAGATTATCTTAAAACCATAGCTGTTAATTTGTCCTTTTAGTTTTTAGTCGTTAATCTATCTACTTCTTTTCTGTTATTTATCTTTCATCATTTATTTCAAGTTTTAATGTCGCTGTTTTATTCAATTTGAATGTGGGAGATTTCAAACTGAAAACTGGGGGATTTTGTCCTGGGGGATTATACCCGGTGGGATTTCATCCTGGGGGATTTTATCCTGGAGATATAGTCCTAGACCCTAAATATACGCCAGATTTGCAATTATGCTAGTACCCTGAAAGCACTATACCATAAGATTAAGATTTATGATTCATTTTTTAAATTGAAAAATAAACACAAGATTTGCTATTTGCGAGTACCCTGACAGCACCCTACAATAGGGTTTTAAGTTGAGATTTTGCAAAGTTTTTTAAAATCGTCATACCCAGTAAGCTAAAAAAAATATTTGAGCAATAATATTTTGAGGCTAGATTTGGAGCCCCTCGGAGAACCCTGACAGCGAACCACCTAAGGGTTGCTTCTTTTAATCTATGAAAACCTGTAAAATTTTTTGAAAGTTTGCATTGCAAAAAATGAAAAAACAATTGCAGAATTAGGCATTTGCTCTCCGACAGGTGTATGATGAAAAGCGTATGTAACCTCGGAAATTTGCATTCAATTGTTCGTTTGAACAGAAAACTTAGTTGAAAATTCGTATAGAATATTTTGAGAGGTTGACTTCACTTAAGTTTTGATTGTTTCAACAAATTGGCTTTTTAGCATGTCAACATCGGTACTTAATGATGTGCCGAACAAAACGCCAGTTAAATAATGTATAGATAGATAAGACAATCTTCAAGCTCTATGAATGTCAAGAAACTTTCATGGCTAAGAAGCAAATGTTGTTCATTCTTCAAAAACAACTTTAAAAAGCTGATACTAACACTATTGAATTATTTATTCAGGAACATTGATAAATTTGGTATACACAAATGAATATTCAGATATTTGACACTTTAGGGATATATTGACATTGCATTTCAGGCTGGACTAAAATTAGATTGAATCTAGTTCTAACAAATGAACGAAAACGGTTGTGAGCATTATCAATGTAGGAACTGCAGCGTAGCGAAAGAATGCATTATCATAACAATGAACTAAAAATGTTTTAATTTGATACAAAGAACGTATATATAAATATGAGAATGGGTTTGACTTTGATGTACTCTTTCATATATCCGAAATATTTGTGTATTTCCTGTGCTTTTGGGACTCTGGCGTATTTATTCTTGTGTTCACTGCTATATTGCCGCCAGTGTCCAGGGTCTCTCGGTTGACCTGGTTCACAATCTTGTGTGCCGTGACCCAAGCCTCCTGCTCCTCCGCCTCCGCCACCTTCTTTGACCTTCCCGGGGTGAGGAGTTGTTTCAACTTTGACCTCACACTCTCTTTCCCCTGCATGCCGCCCGGAAGTGACTCGTACTGGGAGACATACTCTCCAATTGCATTCACATGTCCCAGTGTCTGCTTCACTGGCTTCCGTCTGATTGTCTCGATCGATTCGTCCTCAATGGGAAACACGAATCGAGGCTCCTGTACCATCGGTCCTTTCGCGTCCGCTTTCAATAGCGTCTCGCACTCTGTGCCCCTAGACAGCCCCGCATATCTGTCGCTCTTATCCCGACTACTGGCTCCTTGCATTGCGAAAAACGAAACTTCCAGCTCCCGCTTCAACTGTCGGTAGTATCTACTTTTCAGAAAAAAGGGAAAAACTTCCGTTTTCAGCACGTTTCCTAAAATAACAAACGCACAATCGAACACTGAAGACGGTATCTTCACCTCGCAAGTTTCGCTTTCGGGAGACATTGAGATCTTCTTTGCTTGCAGGATCTGTTTCTCAACTACGCTTATAACTGGCTCTGGAAATTGCACAAAAGTTGACAGCGAATTCTCGTTAAAATACGAGTTGAAAATTGAATTAGCGTCCGATAAAGAACAATGCATGTCGTAATTTAACTTGAAGTTTTGAATAGATAGAAAACAAGATACTAAATTTTGGAGCGTGATTGTTTGTAAAAACTCCATAAAGTAAGCAATTGTGACGTGACAGAAAAGAACGTCCGTCAGCGTCACATTTCGACATGTTATGCGATCTAATTGGTAGTTTACAAAATGTGAGCTGGAAAGAAAGCTTTCAAAATATTCGTTAAGAAGGATAGAATAAACATGGTTTTGTGCTGATACGAAACAGTAAGAATTCACACCCTCTTGCGCACATATTTTGTCCCAAATTTCCGTGCCCAAACTATCGGGCAAATCCACGCTCTGAGAGGAGTCTTTGCAGATGTACCTCATGAAGATGTTGACTGCATTTTGCTTGAAAAAATTGGCACTATCTATAGGGTCATTCGAAGCACTCTCGCCGTCCTCCAACCCATTTTGACCAATTTGAGTCGACCCCTGCTCTAAGATTGGCATCATTGTTATTCGGATAGTTCTGCTGTCTCCAGAAAGACAAAAATCCCCGAAGTCTCCGTTTTCGTCCTCAATTTCAGCAGCCTCTAAATCTTCTTTCGAAGCATTTGCCATTACGTCATCGTATGACGTCATTAACGAATCAGCAAATGGGTTACTGGGTCCGAACACGTCTATGTCTAGCATATCGTCGTCATCTTGTTCATGTGACTCGTTTTCGTCTGATTTGCCAGACTGTTGCGCCTCGTGTGATTGGCTTGTTTGGTCGGACAGTCGGAAAGTCTCCGCAGCAAGCCAGAAGTAGACCAGTTGAGCTTTAGATTTCTCCTAAAGCAGCGAACCGTTATTCCAAAAAACCTTCAATGACTTTACACAAACCGAGTCAATTCAGACTAGATTTAATATTTTTGAAGCCTTTCTATATCACTTTTTAATTACACGCAGATGCCTCTGGCAATTCAACAAAGTGGAACAGATTCTGAACTTTTCAAAAATTAGCAAAAAAGACCAACAACAAAATTAGAAAGTCCACCTCATCCTCAAAACGCATGAACACTCAAAAAACTTTAGTTGCTCGTCAAAAGAAACAATATGAGACCACTAAGACGATAAAAATATAGCCGAAACCTATTAAGCCAAAAAAAAGGAAAATGAAAAGAAAAACCGAAAAAAAATCAAATTTTTTTTAAAGACAATAAGAAGTTATTGAGCCCCCTCACGCTCAAAACACAGACATGACCACAAAAACTTTTTTCGCTTGTCTAAAGACGCAATACGAGGCCTATAGGCCGATATAATATGGACCGAAACCCATCAAACCGAAAAAAAAGCTGGAACAAAATTTTTGTATTGAAAAACTTGAACTATAATTCTATTACAAACAGCAGAGGTAAATCAGAACACCAAAAGCAACTAAAGTGTTAAGAAAACAGGGAAAAAATTCTACAATATGACAACTAAGCCACCAAAACATAACCAGACAATAATAAGCCAACGATTTTTTCTGAAACGGACTATTTCCCGTTTGAAAAAAAATTAAGTCCTTCCAGATTCGAACCCAGATCCTTTGCCGTCCCAGGCGCATTCGTTACCTCCGGACAAGTGAGTTGGAGACGCAAAAAACTACAATTCATTATAAACTAAACCTAAATTTACCATTTTTAATTTTTATTTATGGAAAAAAAAGTCTAATGCGCGATTGCAATACCCTTGCTTATCGCAATAGTAAAAAGTAACTACAAAGCAAACTGCATAGAGCAAGAAAATGCTAAGATGGCAACTAAGTCGACAAAAAATGATCGGACAAATGAAAAGAACCGCAAATCTTTGACGTCTCAACCAGTTGTTTTTATCTCAACCTCATATGTTTGATTGGATTTCAATTTATAATTACCAAGCGGCAACAAGCCGAAAAAACCTGAGAAGCCCTTCATGTCGAAAAGAATATCGAAATTCTCAACTTAAAAAAATATCCCCTCAGAGCACGCACACACACAAAAAAAAAATTTCGGACGTAACAACGCAATAAGAGGCCACTAAGTCGATATTAATTAGGCCGACGTTTATTAAGCCGATAAAAAAGACCAAAATTGAAACAAAAATATTAACAAAAATCGAGCTGATAAAATTACAACCAATGTGAAAAGCCAATTTCGATTCAGCCTGACTTTTAAAATACTGAAATTGACTGCAGTGAAAATTGTTTACAGCTTAAATAAATGATTATTAGATAAGACCTGACAAAACAGAAACAGACAAATAAAACGCCGAACTTTTTTGAACCGGAACATTTACCGTTTGAAAAAAAGCGGTAAATGTTTACGGGAAAAATGTCTAGTACCCGATTGCAATAACCTTGCTATCGCAAGGGTAAAAATTCAAATAAGAAAAAGTTAAAAAGAGCCTTGAAAACAAAACTTTTGTTTTGTAGTGGACTCGAATTGATGCTCTGTAGCAAACAGTAGCCACAAATAAACAAGAGAACAGGTGTTATTAAACTGCCAATATTATGCAATAAAAACGACACCAAAATGAGCACCCATAAAAACAATTCGGGTGGGGAAAAACTCGTTCTGTAATTCAACAAAAAGCTCGCAACTCGCTAGGGTACAAACAATTTAACAACAGATTTCAATTTTCTTTTTCAATTTTGCATCTTTTTCTGAGCGTGAGGGGATATGAAAGTCTTAAAAAACTAAACTTATAACTCTAGTAATGTCTTTCATTCACTTAACAAAAACTAGGATGGCCAATAGCTGTGCAAGTATCACAGAATGTTCCGACAATATTCGCAAAAAATAGAAGTAATTTTTTTTCAAATTAGTGTCGTTATTTGTGCGTGGTGTGATTAAGCCTAGAACAAAACCTAGACCATAAGCATATTCCGCAGCTAAAAAAATTAGGCAAAGTACGCAAAGTAATCTATATTCGCTCGAAATTAGATCGAAAATCAAAAACTTGAAAAGAGTTTTTCTCGACATTGAGAAATTTTATCAGAAATTTTCAAATGCTTTAGAGTCACGATTGAAAGGGCTTAAAAAACTAAAACTCAGTCGAATACAAGTTTGAACGGCCGGAACAAATAAGTGTTCACATTATCAATTAGATTTTTCAATCTTCAAAAACTGTATGAGTAAAACTTTGTATGAAAAAATTTCTTTAGTGACGCACACCAATAATGAGTCTACATAATTGCTAAGTGATGCAAGCCAATTATGACACATTAGCAGTACTAGTCAACTTGAAAAAAAGAAACTTACCAACTAACATGCCTCAATTTATAGAGCAGACGCATTTTAACTTGTATACGAAAAATTCATTAAGAACATCAGACACTGTCCAGGTTCGAACCCTCTAATTTTGCTGCGAGTCTCCTTCCCTACCTCTACGCTACATATCCATGCTACCGTGAAGCTAAAATGCTAATTGTAATATAATAGTCTGTGTTGGATATACTTAATAGCTGGTTATTGATCAAAATGAACACTTTCAAAGTGAACACATTTTGTCGCAGCAATATTTGCGTCGCAACAATATTTGCGACTTAGATTGGAAAAAAGATAGTTCATACTATAACACAAGCTTTGCTTGTGTAATAAGGTGAATAAGGCAGACAAAACATGTTTGTCATGGCCTAATTAGACGGAATGCAATTTTTTGTAACAATCGGACAATTGAACAACAAAATTGCTCGTGAATTGTGAGGAGGGAGGGGAGGGCCTTACTATGCGGTGGTATCTAACCACCGACCTGGACATTGAGATTTACAAGTCCTCGCATCTTCGCCAGGGTCGCTTAAAATCTTCAAATATAAGCAACCAATAACTCAGATACAACGAGAAATATAATGCTTTGCAGCAAAAGATAACCAGATATAAGGTTATTGCTGTAAACGTGCCACCAAATCAATCAAAACTTTTATTAGCGACTTGGGCTGGGAAACAAATGAATCTCGTAATATGACACAGCGCTCGCAGGTGTAAAAAGAAAGATAAAATTAGGAAAATCGATTGAAGTTTAACGGAAACCGATTCACCTTTACAAAGTCAATATTCAGTCTTGAAAATCTTTGTTATTTCAGCACATTTTGATATTTTCATCTCTTCAGATTTCGATTTAACATTTATGTATTCTATTGAGAAACAGCTCAGAATAACTATGAATAGCACGTAATCCGGGCGGAAAATGAGCTGAGCATCGAGAATACTTTAGCTCCAAAGTCTTTTATGAAATTAGAATTGACGGCCTCTCAAGCTGTTGTTTACGTGTTTACAGGCCTGGTATTATCATTTACGACATTTACAGTGAAAGTTAATTGCCCCCCCCCCTCCCCTCCCTCAGCTCTGGACCAATTTTATACACTTGGATAGCGGCTGGAAAAAATAAGTTAGGACGAGGATGGGGATTCGTAATATGACACTGGGCTCGCTAGCCTGCATGTGTATTTAATAATGTCCACTTGTTTGCTTCAAATACCTGTAAGAACTGTATGAGATAGGGCAACACCATGTCATGTTTCAACACTTGGCTCAGTTTTGGCGACAGGGAAGATTGACACACTAAGTACTGTTTGCTCCTCACAGCCATTCCCCGTTCGCCTCCCTCGTAGCAGTGGACGTCCTTGGAGGATATGGACTTGGCCGCCTCAAATTCGCCCACCTTCATCAACTTGGCGTGCTTCTCCAGAAGGCGCACTTCGTTCAACACTTTTGACACTCGAACTTCCCATGTTTTGCAGTCTGAATTCTTCTTAGCCATTTGAAGCCCCGTTCGTTTGCTCTCCGCTCAAATAGCTCACTATTTACATTTTGTACAATTTATTAGAAAGTGTTAAAACGCAGCCTATAAACACTTACACGCAGTGTACATCTTCCTGAAAAGAGCACAACTTTTGAGCCATCCTTCATAACTGGTTGTTGTTTTCATCAGTTGTCACAACAAGTTTATCTATTTGACTGCCTTTTAACTTTATTTGAAATCACCTCAGTCAAATTGAATACATTAAAATAAAAGTTTTAAATGTTGCCATGCAATGCCACTTATCAGAACAATTTATCGCCAGATTGACGATTTTTTAAACCAAAATGAAACGAATGTTTTAAGAAACTGTTCTACCGAAAGCTATACCGGAAAAGTATGATGCACTCTTTTCCACCATTGTTTCCATGAAGTAAAGCGGATGCAATGTCATTGAAATCTCAACTTGCTAGGGAAAACATTGGGGAGTTCTGATTGATTCAATTGCTATTTTTTTTTTGAAATACTCGTATCACAAATCTTCTTTTTTAAGGAAGCTTGATCATACGTAAAGTATGTCAAAGGCTATAATTTGGACTCTCGGACATAAAAAGCTAATCAGCATATTAAAAATATGAATAGTACATGGCGCCAAATTACGTAAACTGAACAAACAAAAACAAATAATAGTTTCCAGAACTTAGAGATTGCTAATAAATCAACTCATTCAAGTCTTGGAACTGAATCGAATAAGCCCAATTCAGTCATGGTGATAATCAATAAGGCGAATACCAGTTCCGTCTAGCTCTGAAACCTCCGCGGCCTCTGTAGACAGGTCTGTAGCCTGCAAAACCACCCCCTCGGTATCCGCCCCCGCCTCCCCCTCTGAAAGCGCCGCCTCTACCGCGGGGTCTGAAAAAGCCACCTCCTCCTCCCCGATTGGTTGAGCTAACTCCGGGCACATTAAATCTTTTGGCTGTCACTTTTATTGCTCTGCCCTTAAATAAAGAGTCGTTTAGAGCCTGGGCTGTTTCTACAGAGTCTTTGTCACTAAATTCGATGTAAGCGAAGCCCTTGGGCTGGCCGGTGAACTTGTCGCACAAGATTGTGACTCTGTTGATTGCCCCACACCCGTTGAAATGTTGTTCCAGCTCTTCCGCAGTTGAACTGTAGTCTACATTGCCTACGTACACTGACCTGGAACAAAACAAAACAAACGATACTTCATTTCACATCCATCGCTACTTCAAAAGAGCTCTTTTCAATTTCAAATCAGCAGTTTTCAACCAAATTTCATCCCTTTTCCTAAATATGATCACAAGTAACCGTGTTTACAGATTTGCAGGCAAACTGCAGCTTAAACTGACAACCGATTGTAGAAACCGAAGATGAAAATTGTCCGAAACATTTGAAGTTCGAAGCAATGACATTCGAAACAATTTCAAATGGTCATCCTCTTAAGCGTGGTTTCGAATATCAAGGTAAAAATGCTGGAAAATAAGTACCAACAGTTTAAAAAATCATGAGAAAAATAACAGGAAAAGTGGACAATCAGCATTATGTTCTGTTTTACTGGATTCCTCTGGAACATTCAGACGCCGCAAAAGAGACCAGCATGCAAAGTGTATCAGCCTACCTTTGGTCAGCTTCCATTTTTTCGTCCTGGGAGGGAAAGGATCTCTGGGCTGCATTTCCACCCTGCGTGGTCAACATCTGCTTCTCGACCTCATCCTGCATCTGTTTCAGTTTCAGCTGCTCCTGTTCCATCTCTCTCACTCTCTGGCGGATCGCCTCCAGCTCCGGGTCATCCACGCCCTCGTCCTGCAACACTGACTGGTCATTGAAGGTGCGACTGTCGCTCGTGTCGCTCTGGGCGGCCGAGTCAGCCTTACTGGTGGCGGCTATCGCTTGGTCTATGTCTTCTGCTGTCAGTTCCGACTCTAGGAGGCCTTCGACGTCGTCCACATCTCCCATAATGAGATAATCTGAAATTGGAACGAGAAAAACTTCAGAGCCACTTAAAAATAGTGACAAATGAATCTATAAATTTAACTTATTCTCGACTTCTGCCTTTTGGTCTACAAGAAAGAAAACAAGGAAGACAGATAGAAAGGAAGAGAAAGCGCGAAAACAAAAACAAATCACATTGGGACCGAAGGCGCCCCTAAAAATTATTTTAGGGTCGGTTGATCATAGAGAAGTACCAAAGGTTGATCCTTTGGTGGCGAGGAGGACGAACCTTTGAGATGGGGAGAGAAGTGACCCCCCCCCCCCCCCTAAATCACACATTATCCATAAATGATCTAAGAAAATTTCGCTGAGATTTGAAGAGATACAACTAATTCATGGCCTTATAGAACGGAGGAGTTGTGAGCTTATAACCGTTGGGACAACAGCTCCTTTAAGATCAGTTCATTGATTCAACTTCAATTTACTGTCAAACACTATTGGAAAAATAGATGATATGAACAAAAACTATCAACGGCAATATAATCCACAAGACCAAGCTGCGGCTGAATTTTTCAAAAAATTGATTCTTAGTAAAAGAATATACAACGACACTTCATGAACACATTTCTGTTAATCGACGATCAATTTTGGAAGGTCAAAAACTTTGGTGTCATTTTGATAAAAAATTGAATTTTCTCCTATTTATAGTGGACAAAATTTCATTTTTCAAATTCACTTTCCAATTCAACAAATTGAGATAAATTCGTTTAGATAGGTACTTAGCAAGATGCGAAGTCAAAAACAACTGGCGATTTTGGTTCTAGTAGTATATATTAGCTCTGGCTCTGGTTTCAATACACGTACTAGGTCCAGTGAACCCGATTTCAGACCAGCGGAAGAAATCGAGGACAAAATTGTGAATGGAGTTGTGAGTGAGGCTCACGCATACCCATGGATGGTGAATATTTTGCTGTACGGGAACTTCCATCTATGTGGAGGGTCCCTTTACAACAGCATGTATGTAATATCTGCAGCCCACTGTTTCCCCAAGGACTTCGACCTCTTCAGCTACTCGATGGTTCTGGGAGACTACAATCAACAGCAAACAGAAACTGGACAAGTGAGAATTGTCTTCGGTGTTTTTGTGGACTACTTTCGATTTTCAAAAATTATATAAAAGTCAAAAACCCAAACAGCCAACTAGAACCCAAATGATGGTCCACAATTTGATCTCCAATTTATCCATTCTCAATTATTCATGACGTAGTATAGTATAGGTACAATAAAAAAGATTTTGTTTTTCAGGTGACCCGCAAAATCAAATCCATCAGGACTCATCCCGACTTCAACCAGAAGACGATGAACAACGACCTGGTGATAGTGGAGATGAGCGAGGCAGTGGACTACTCGGACAGCATCAGGCCCATCGGGATGACCTTCTTCCCCGTCATGGCGGGGGAGACTCTCACAGTGATGGGGTGGGGGGCATCGGAGGGGACTATGGACGAGGACATTCTGAATGAGGCATCCGTTCCCGTCATCGACAGGGAAGTGTGCAACCAGACAGATTGGTACGACGGAAAAATAACTGAGAACATGATTTGTGCAGGTAGGTAACTCACTCTTAGTCGAATAACCAGAACAAAAAGCGGTTTTCAGCTTCAACTAGTTTCATTTTAAAGTTGAATTACTTTCATGCATTAAAAAACTAGCAATACACTCATAAAAAAAACAGGGAATGGTAGATTGAAGCTCATAAGTGAGTGGACCACTAAGGAACTGAAAATACGGCGGAAATCAATCTACGCAAATACGTTGCCTAACAACTTGCACACTTTTCGGAACGGAAGAATTTCAATTCCTATGGCAATAAAACAGGATAAAATGAGGATAAACTGCGCGAAATGTACTTGATAAGTGGTAGGACACTAGGAGTTGAACATGTGAAATTGGGTTTCAGGGTTCGCTGCGGGCGAGACTGACAGTTGTCAGGGCGACTCAGGGGGCCCCCTGGTGAGACATGTGATGGGGGGACAGTGCCTGTTGCAAGGGGTGGTGTCGTGGGGGAAGGGGTGTGCCGACCCCCGACAGCCGGGAGTGTACACTAACTTGATCAACTATGTCGACTGGATCCACGAAAACACACACTAGAAAAGAGAGAGAGACACTTAATTGTTGGAGCAAACAGAAAAGAAAAGAACTTCCAACACGAAAATTATCAATTCAAAAATCTCACAACTAACTTTTCCAACACGATAGAACGCGGCAGTAAGCTTGACAAATTCTGACAAAGTAAACTAAAGCTTGATTTCTAGTCAGACAGACAAAGCCGTTCAGCGCATCTTTTGCAAAACAGAAAAAGAAACTACTGCTAAATGTTAGAAAACTAGCATACTCAACTTATACTCAGCATACTCAATTTATGGGTAGGCTGGCAATAATCCGCCGTAGAAAAAAAACTGTGCAAATGATAGCGACTTAGATTGGCGAAAAATATGGTAACGTTCACATAAAAACCCGCTTACTCCTAAATTGTTTGGTACAGTTTTTAATTCATTGCCTCCAAAAATTATTTTAAATATTACACGGAGGCGAAGCTACGCTTCGCAAACAGGAAAATGCAAAACAGAGCTCTGAGCAAGCAAAACAAAGTGAAATAAAAAAAGGAAAAATTTAAAAACACTCGAATAAAAATTTGAACATCAATTTTGAGACTAGAAGTATCACGTTCTCACATCTGCTCCACGACAGCTTGTAATTTTACTAACATTAGACAGCAATAAAGCAGCATAATAAAATTCGATCAAAAAATTTTAACTTTTAGAATGTTCCGGATTTGAATATCCGACCTGATCATATATTTAATCATATATTGAACTGATAAGGAAATTAGTAATTTTCAAAACTTTAAAAATATATTTAATCATATATTGAACTGATAAGGAAATTAGTAATTTTCAAAAATTTAAAAAGCTTCTCTGCTCAAGTAGTAATTTAGATGCTTATTTAACGGTGATTTTTTTCTTTCAGTTAAACCCTTATTCTCCGCTTTGGCAGGGTTGTTTTTGAGAAGTTTTTAAAATAAACCAAAATATCAAAACATTGTCTTGTTTGAGGCTATAACTTTTGTTCTACCAAAATAAGGGAATATCCGCTTAAAAAGGGGAGATCCCTGTGATTTTTTCTTTTGATTGAAAAGTTCATCTCAGATTTGTGCATTTGAAACTTGAGAAAATAAAAAAACTCAAAACAAATAGGTCAAAAATCCCCTACTGAAAGTTTCGAAGGCCGTAGAACGTGGGTTAAAATGAAAAGACTAGCGACATATGAATGCATGTAGAAGCTAGGAGTTTTCAAACACGACATAGCACAAGCCACAAATAAGACAACAACATATGCTATTAAATTTCCTATGCTTAAATAGGATTAAATAAGATTAAAATTGAAACTAGCGTGTAACGCGCCTCCGGTGCTTCGAACTGATAAGAACACCATAGAAAACCGAATAACTGTAATTAAGATCTGCATCCTATGAGTGTATTCTGATAGCACCCGATTAAAGGTTTGGTAATTACAAATTTTGTTGAGAAAAAATATTGTTCAAGTTTTTGTTAATTCAAACGTCACATCTCGAAAAAAATAAAAAAAATTGAGCGAGCACAATTATACGCAAGATTTGCAACTCCTGAAAGTAATCTCACAGTACCCAACTACAGCGCTGAGAATTTTAAATTTTGCGAAACTTCAAATTTAAGTTTACTAAAAAAAAAGTTTTGAAAAACCATAGAAAACGTCATATCTCAATAACGGCAAAATTTCGAGCAGTCAATATTGGAGGCAAGATTCTCAAACCCTGAGAGCACTCTGATACCCCCAGATTAGGGGTTTCGAATTTCAAAAAATTGGAAAAAAAATAAATTTGAGTTTCCTGAAAAACGTTCAGAAAAAATCACAAAAAAAAACATCATATCTCAAAAACTACAAAAACTTGAGCAGTCAGTTTTTGAGGCAAATTTTGCAACTCCTTGGACTACCGTGACACAGCCTCAATATTCAGATGACATCTTCAAATTTTGTGAAATTTTTTATATCTAAGTACTTCGAACAACTTTAACAAAAATGCATAACAAACGTCACACTCGAAAACAAAGACCATTTGAGCAGGCGCAATTTGACGCACGATTTGCAACTTGGAACTCCTGAGAGTAACCTCACAGTACCCAATTACAAGGCTAGGAGTTTCAAATATTTAAATTTTTTATCCAAATCTGAATTAAAATCTGAATTTTTTAAACCTACAATTTATAAAGTTTTCTGAAAAAAAAACTTGAAAAAAACTGAAAACACGTCATATCTCGAGAACTGCGAGGTTTTGAGCAGTCATATTTGACGGCAAGAATCGAGTAATTGAGCAAGAAGAGTTATCGTACAGCACCCAACTGCAGGGTATTTTGTGAATTACTTGGTTATTTGGGTTTTCTCAAAAATTTTGAAAAAAAAAACACATAAATCGTCGTATCTCGTACACTAAAAGGATTTGGGCATTCATAATTGAAGGTCGATTTCGCAACCCCTGGCGGAACCCTGACAACATTCCACTATTAGGCTGCTTATTTTAAACTCGGTTAACAAACACTGAATTCAGCTGGAAAATCGAAGGAATATCTTTACCATTGCAATATACGATATAGCTTAAACGTTGTACACTTTTTTTATTTCGGATGTTCAAGCAAAAAACCTATTAACTCATTTTTCAATTGATACCAAAAAATAGCTAGAATAAGCAAACACATTTAGTACCCGGGAACACTAGCTGCACTTACTGTACATGACCAAAAAAAAACACAAATAACAGCCAGTTGGAAAGGAGTCAATGAGCGCAAGTTAACAAAAAAAATAGTGACATAATTTCTTGAAATAATCTCAAACTTCGAGAAAAAAGAACGGCAGAATTTATTTTTCGCTGGGGAAACCTGATAAATAAACTCTATTTTCGAAATTAGAAGTCGATCACGTTTTTCGTGGCCTTTCCACTTCGCTGTTCGATAGAGGAAATTGCCTTCCTTTTAAGAAATCAAAAGTCAAACTTTTGTTCTACCAAAATAAGGGAATATCCGCTTAAAAAGGGGAGATCCCTGCGATTTTTTCTTTTGATTGAAAAATTCATATCAGATTTGTGCATTTGAAACTTGCGAAAATAAAAAAACTCAAAACAAATAGGTCAAAACTCCCCTACTGAAAGTTTCGAAGGCCGTAGAACGCCTTTACACTTCGCTGTTCGATAGAGGAAATTGCCTTCCTTTTAAGAAATCAAAAGTCAAGCGCTGATAAAAACTTGAGCCTGAACATATATTAACATATTATAAAAATAAATAGCAAGAACTGTTTATAAGCCTGAAATCGAAATCACTGTTCATTGTTCTGTCGCTCTACCGACAACAACACAATAACTTATTGTAGCTTATTATTGCTTCTTTTGCTGTTTAGCAATGAGAGATATTTCTCAGGTATCAGCATATCTATTTTTGATTTCGAGCTTAAAATTATCTAATTCGATACACTTTGTCTCGTTTGAGCTGCACTTTGCAGAAAGAAAAAATGAAGATCATTGAAAAAACATTTTTAAAAATTACTGGACTTGAACACCGGATCATTTGCTCGGTTATCGACGTTTTACGGCCTGATTGAAACTCAAATGCTTTTGCAACCGATATGTATGCCTTCGGAGTCCAAACTCGTACTGCAATTGATGGGACTGAGCTCCAAAATTGCTTGCTACTTTACACACCGGAAAAATCAACAAATTTTACGAGATAACAATATGCGCCACATGCTACAGTGCTGATTTAAATTATCCGGACGAAACAAACAAAACTTGAATTTTCAAACGCGTTTTTCTCAAATTGGGTTAAGATTAGACAAAAAGTGAAGAGGACAAAATTTGCTTAGAATTTCACCAGAATTAATATGGTGCCATTTTTTCTCCGAAATTCTCGACAAAAATTGTACCCCAAAAATGGGTCATTTTGGCTTTTTTCAATTAATCAAGAATTACGCTGAAACTACTTTGTTAATTGATATGAAAATTATATCACAGGAAGCCTCTTACGTAGTTCAACAAAGTTTAAGAAGGGTTAAATTTCCAAAAACTGGCGCAAATTGTTTAAAATTTATTTTTAAACAGAGATTCTGGGTTTAATATAGTAAAAATCACATTTATTGACTATCAAGTGATTTTTTTTTTCATTTATACTGGTTTTTGGAGATTTAACCCTTCTTAAACTTTGTGGAACTGCGTAAGAGGGTTCCTGTGATATAATTTTCATATCAATTAACAAAGTAGTTTCAGCGTAATTCTTGATTAATTGAAAAAAGCCAAAATTACCCATTTTTGGGGTAAAATTTTTGTTGAGAATTTCGGAGAAAAAATGGCACCATATTAATTCTGGTGAAATTCTAAGCAACTTTTGTCCTCTCCACTTTTTGTCTAATCTTAACCCAATTTGAGAAAAACGCGTTTGAAAACTCAAGTTTTGTTCGTTTTGTCCGGATAATTTAAATCAGCACTGTACAAAGGCAGCTTCATAAATTAAGTCGCCCTCAATTTAAAACAATCTGAGTTGAAAAGAGAATTTGGAGTATTTCTATTTCAAGAACTATTCTTAATCATCAGAGTCTGATAAGCTTATACCCTCGCCTATATCTTCTGCCACTACGCTTTTCTTCATACTGTTAAAATTCAGCACCGGTGGCTTATCAGGTTTTAACTCGTTGATCGAGAACTTGTGCTCTACTTTCGAATACTCCATTTCTGGAGATAGGTCTAGGAGATGAGAACCTTCAATTACCTCTTCTTCCTCCTCGTCGTCGGCATACAATGACGGGTTTGAAGGTTCCAGTTGTTCTGATTCGCGAAGTCGATGTGAAAGCGTGATTTCCAGTTTTGCTTTGAGGCACTTTAGTCTTTCTGCCACGTCCATTTCGTTTGCAACCAGCTGTCGCATTCTGTCGAAGTGAGGCTTCAGAGATTTGCAACTTTGCAGGTAGTCAAAATGAACCAAGAGGATCTCTCGAAGCCAGACATACACAAATGCATCGCCAATTTTGTCAATATTTTGAAATAGATGGCCAGTTAACACACTAATTTGCGGCCCGCTCAAACTTTGTACAGTTTCACTGATCAGTATTCGATTATTATTTGTGAGAATTTCATTCAACTTGGCTTTATCGTTACTGCTTAGACACTGTATCAACAAAAGCGCACGCGACTGTCCTTCCTCTTTGGCCATTCGAGACCCAGCTGTTATTTTTTTGACCGGCGATAAGGCAGTTTTTTTAGTTCCTGTAGTAGGGGCATTTGAAGTCATTTTAGTCAAAAGCTCAATTAAGCTAGGCTCCTCCTTCTCAACTACTTCATGGCTCCACATTGAAGTTACTGTCGACTTTTTAAGCTTTGAAACATCATGTGGCACGACTGAAGTTGCACTTTTCATAAGCATGGGTGCCCGTTTCGTAGGATCCAATGTTTCGATCACGTGTTCTTTGCCTGATTTCAAATCAGAAAAGTTAACTAACTCAACCGATACGAACTCGGGAAATATTCCGTGATAGAGAACAACTGAATGTCCAGAAATAGCAGAAACGAAAACGGGAATAATACTTTTAGTGTCCGAGTCCACTATTTTGACAGTAAACATCGGTTTGCCAGATTTTGCTTTCAAATGCGCATCTATTATCTCAACTGAACCATCAAAATTGCAAACTGAAACGTACTTCGTAAGTTGTGAGCCCTTCTTGAAGTGTTCGGAACTAGCCAAGTGGCAAAAATTTGCAGACAAATTTATGTTCCTCGGGGTTTCTGAATTAGACCATGTCCAGGAAGCTATTTGACGACAGGCTCTAGACGCTGCCACCACAATAGGTGGACTAGACTTCTTATTTTTCTTCGACTTTGTCGGCGTAGCTTCAAATTCTGCATGTTCCAGACTGGATGACACAAAGCGGACAGATGTCACGTGGACGTGGAAAGGTTTAACCTTGTGCAAAATTTTCTCAGAAACAATATCCCAAACAAAAATATCCAAATTTACAGATGTAACAAGGTACGTATTACACTCTGAAGATGCAATACAATCAACTCGACTTTGATGGCAGCTTTTGCTGGAGTAGCCAATTTTCCCCGAGTCATTTTTTATAATCAAGCTGGCTGATGTTATTTGTCCGTTTTCATGCCCAAAATGGACTTGCGAATCATTGCTATGTATACATGTCACTGGTGAGACCGATTTTCCGTTCACGTGGTCATTTTGCATTTTGTAGTTCGTCTGTTGCTTCCCATTCAGTTGGGTCAAAAAACAAACAAAAACAAGGGTGCCTTCAGCCGTACCTATACACAGTAAGGGCCGACGTTGTGTCTTCTTCTTTGGAGTTGAAGGCGTCTCTATCTTGGCCTTCTTAGAAGGCGTTTGGGACACTGCATCTTCTTTCGTAACATCGATCGTCAAATTCACAACCCCGACAGCAGTTGGTGTTTTCACATATTCATAAACTGAGAATTGCCACTGAGGCTTCGTCCAGTTTGAGTCAGAGTAAACAGTAACAACAGTGCCATCAGTCACTATAACATACTTGTCTATACTGAACACTTCAAAAGTTGAACTCTTAACAGCCGATACAGCTTTCATCAACGGCAATCTGAAATGTAATTATATTCAGCATCATGTAATAACAAAAGCCATTTTAAACTTCGCTTTTACAGACAAAGAGTGACTCAGAATCATGTCAAAATCACTCAATCAAAACATTAAAACCGCAATGAAATTTATGAATTGCAAAAAATTTCCTGTCACTAGAACACATTTTTGTTGAGCATTTTTTTGTGTCACTAAATTGATTTTTTGAGCTCTTCCAAATCACCCTATTTCGACCAAACTTTCTGCGCGGCAGGCAATTTTTAGAAAACAAACAGGCTAAAAAAACGTTTTTAGGCACTTTTTAGAAAATGTTGACCAAAAATCGCTTCTAACCGGCGCGCGCTCCCCCTCAAAATTAGTATATATTAGCGCCAAAGGCGCCTTTAGAAAATTTTTACGGTCAGTCAGTCAAAATACATTATAGTACAAAAGGGAACCCTTAAGTCAGCAAAGGGTCGGGTTGCTTCCTAAATCCTCTTCCTAAATTTTGCCTCCTAAATCCTCTACCGTGATCAAAGACAATTGAAACATGAGTTGCAAGTTAAACAAACCATCAGATAAAATGTGGGCAGGGGCAGAATTAGGGGGGGGGGGGGGGGTGGGGTCATAACATAACAAAAAAACTGTTCAAATCGGAACGAAACAAATGCTCCAGAAAATAGCTTACCTATCAAACAAAAAAATGGCGGTTTTAAAAAAAACTCTTTTGAAGAAAAAATTACAACCTGAAACGGTGAGATTCCTGAAATGATTCCTGTTAACTAAGTTAATTACGGGAAAAATGTCTAGCACCCGGTTGCAATAACCTTGCTTATCTTGAATGGCTTAAATATAAACAGAAACCTTTGAAAACTAGGCTGCTGAATTAGCGTAATAAATCATGTAAATTGCATTTGAAAAAAAAAAACGGAAATGAGCCGGCGGAAAGTAGGACGAAAGCCGCAAATCTGACAAATCCTCATCATTTCTTTCTCATTACGTTCAGTTAAAAAATTTATTTAGTACCTACAATGAACTACGAGGTAGTTTATGTGAAGTTTCAAAAAATTGAGCAGGTGAACGCTGCCTACACTTGAAATCAACTGCAATAGTATTCTGTAAGAAAAGTTGTTTACGGACAAAAATCTAGTTCCCGATTATAAGTACATTTGCTCTCGCAACTGAAAATAAGTCTGAGATTAGTCATTTGATGTTGGGACAACATTGGAACCAAAACTAGTCCCAAAATATCTTCAAAAGATAACATTCTTTCCATAATTTCACTATTAACATGCTTGATCAGCAATACAAAAAATTTCAATAAAACCAAGTGGGATGTTTCCGCTTTTTCAATTCAATTTCATCTTCTAGGCCATGGGCTTTCAGGACACTGTCCTCAAATGTATCCAATTCCATTTTGTATGTTTTCTCTTCGCACAATTCTTTAGGCGTGTCTTTGGAACTGTCTTCCTGGACCGGATTGCTTTCCACTTCTGGGTAAGGAATGATGCGACCAGTTGAGCGTGACACTCTCACTAACTCGCCGAGCTCGTTATACTAAAGCATTTATAATCGCTAATTACCAATCGCGAAACCAAGGATATAACACAGTGGCGAAGGAGGGCTGCGCACCACTTGCGATACAATTAGGGAGAAAATCGAAGAAAAAAAATCAAAAGCAGTAGAAAATTTCTGAAGGACAAAAAAAACAAGATGTATCAAAATGAATTAAGCCAGTTTTGAAAATAAAACATACCAAGTCAATAGTATTCGAACTTAGCATCGAAAGAAAGTTTAAACGCGGGAAAAAAGCCGAAAGTACCTGAGCACAATCCGTTTAAGCCGAAACAAAATTCAACTCTGAAATACTGAACTAACGAGTTAACCATTCAAGAAGAAAGCTTTATGCGCGGCTCCTCGACGAGGCAACAACAATAAAGAAAATTCTAAAGGACACTTAAACTTAAAAAAAAATGTCGGTTTAGTGGCATTATATTGCGTCATTTGATGACCGAATTTTTTTTGTGTACGTGTTTAGGTGCTTTAAGGAGGAGGGGGACTCAAACATTTGGCTCTTTTTCCTTCCCCCCCCCCACCTCACACGAGCGTCAATATTATGGTCTAACGAGTGGTTTTAAAAGGTTGATTATGAAGACCAAATATGTTTGTCATGTCCTAATTAGTCTGAATGTCAATTTTAATGACAAACGGACAATGTGGACATTAATTTTGATTATAAAAATTGGCAGGTGGGGGGGGGAGGAAAAAGAGCCAAATGTTTGAGTCCCCCTCCTCCTTAAAGCACCTAAACACGTACACAAAAAAAATTCGGTCATCAAATGACGCAATATAATGCCACTAAACCGATAAAACACAGGCCGAAATCATTGTGGCAAAATAAAACTTTTAAGCAAAAAAACGGAAGAACATACGAAGCCAAGGTTATTAAAATTACAAACAGCAGAAGTAAACCAAAACACTCAAAGCAACTGCAATTTAGATTGCGTATAACGAAAACACAATTCCACGACATGGAAACGAAGCCGAAAAAACATAAGCCGACAAATAATAAGCAGATTTTTTAAAAACGAAATACTCCTGTTACATTCGAACCCAGAGCCTTTGCCGTCCCAAGCATACTCGCTACCCAGGGTTGGCAAAATGTAAGTTAAAAACAAAAATAACAAACTAACTGTTATTTATCGAAAAAAAAACATGTTATTTTTGTTAAATTGTTAATTAAATTAACATATCAACAAGAGTTGACTTTCTTGAACAGAAACGCCAAATTTCCGGCTTTCTCAACGCCGAGTTGAGCACAAAGCTTCCCATGCGTCAGGAGAGATTTTTCGCTCTGTAGTTTGTCAAGTGAAAGTGCAATTGGTTTGAAAATATTTTTTTCATCCGTTCGGGATTCGCTACAATCGTTTCGGAACAAGCATGCAGTATAGTTGCGTTGTGTTTTTCTAAGAATTACTCATATTTCTATTGTGCTGGAGACGGAAGAAAATGAATGCAAAAGCGAGAATTTATGCAGATGAGAAAAGCAAAAAGAACAGTACCACTGAACCGAAAATTAGAAAATTCGTTAACTTGATTGGCTGCAACACTTCACATAGAGCATGGCAAGCTATACGGAACAAATCGAGTCAACCAATCAATCCACTGTCTTAAAAAACATGATTAAAAAATGGAAAAACCTAGATCTTACAAAAATTGCAAACGTTGTCCTGAAGTGGCTTTGCCGTTTACTTTGCGAAAAATGATTGCACGTATTCATTTAGCATTGGAACAAAAAACTTATAAAGAAGACAACAGAAGTTCAAATTTCGGATTCAGGCTCCAGTAAGTGTACACATACATGAAAAAATGTTTTTACACTGTAAACAGCAGAAATTGAGGCCGCTAAGCCGATCTACTAGAAGCCGAAACTTTTTGAGTCTAATGAACATTTCACGCGAAAACAAGAAAGAAAGAAAATATTCAAAACAGGAGGCGTTTCACAAGCAATTAAGTAGAAAGGCACGTGCATTTAGATAAAACGGCCAGCACGACATGATTGAGTAAGTGCCTTTCGGCCAAATACCAATAACATGTTCAGCTGATTATGGCAAAAAATTTTAAGACTTTTGAAGCAGAAAAATTTTGTTCCGTCGAACAACCATCCGAATCACAACAATCAGCAAAAACTTCTATTAAAAAATTCAAAAACCTTGTCTTGTGTTATTGTAACAAATAAACAAATTGAGAAACCTCATGGAAATCCAGTTAAATTTACATTCGTCCACTTATCCATATTTTGGTAAGAAAACATTTTAATTGCCAAATGAAATCACAAATTCATTTCACACGTGTAGGTTATGTTCATATTTTAAAAATCAATGAATAAAACATAAAAAATAGCCAAGAGACAGTTGAAACGAGTCATTACTGACTTGTTTTCTGAAAAAATCTCAACTTTAGAATTTCAAGGAAAAAATAGATGCCCTTAAAGCTCTTTGAATTTCTAGAACAATGTAGCATTGACACTTCTAACATAAAAATTAACCTAATTTGAGAAAACTGAATCAATCAGTAAATTTTTATTTCGCTAGAAAATCTGAAAATTAAATCCCATCTTCGAAATTAGAAATCGATCTTATTTTTCGTGGCTTCTACACTTTTGCTGTTCGATAGTGGAATTTGATTTGTTTCTAACGAAGGAAATGAACAGAACTTGAAAAGAAATCAAAACTCAAACAGCAAAAAATTAGATTCAAGCCTAATCAATTTCACTTCTTTTAAAAAAAACTAAAAAATCATAGCGACCTATATCAGAGTATGAACTACGTTCATTGACTCTTAACAAAGCCAAAAAACTTTCAACCGTTTTTTCTCGACAATAGTACAACTTTTTAGAAAACTTTCAATGTCGTTTAAACTTTTAGAAAACTTTCAATGTCGTTTAAATCACGACCGAAAGGTATTGAAATAGTATATCACACCGCCCATTCCGATGATGTTTTGTGGTACTTCTTTTTGCTTGAAACACCAAAAAAAAAACACCTGAAGTTCCTCTCAATTTTCAATAGTCAGAAGAAATCTCAATCCCAGAAACTATTTATTTGCCAAGTAACCCCAATCACTTACTTGCAGTGGAACCTCAAGTAAACGTAAGTAAAACCAAAAAATTTTAAAGAACTATGTCGACGAAAATAGGGCTGATAAAAAACTAAACATTTTTTACAGAAGTTGCAATCGAAATAACTCCAAGGAACAAACTTACTTATTTGATATATCTCCATGCACAACAGTTCAACTTATTCATTTGAGCGCGCGCTAAAAGAAAGCACCGGAAAGGAACATGGCCGCAAGATAAGTTCGCTGGTTGAAAAGATAATTGAAGGGAAAAAATCTAGTACCCGATCATAAAGCATACCAGCTCGTAATCTATACAGTCCTAGCAAAATGAACTAAGAGACAAAGCGACCCTTTACGCTTCTTTCGATGCCAAAGCAATATAAAATTGCAAACAAACTGACAATGAATTAGTCTGACTGAAAAAAAAAAACAGAAAAATAACCATTTTTCAAAAATTTCCCCTCCAACATTTTAGCGAAAGAAAGCAAATTTGACCAGAAATGTTTTTTGCTTAAAATGATAAGTGAAATCCCGTATGCCGCAGATATATGCATTTCAGGGCCTGAAACGCACACATCTGCAGTTCTCAGTACTTCTCCCATAATTTTCATCAAAAAAGCGATTTCTATCATCTCAAATTTTCTACTCGAATCAGGAAAACACGACCAGCGACGCAATCGCCAGCGAGAAAAAAAGCATTCAGAAACTTTTATTGAGCGTCAACTATGTCCGCAACTATGTCTTTCCCCCTTCGAAAATGTTAAAAATTAATTTTTCTTGTCGATAAAACAGAAGTCGAACAAATTTAGATCGATCAAAGGTTTCAAGCTAACGAAAAAGAACAAAACGAAAAGAAATTTTGCAACGCCAGAGTTGGTGATATTACAAATAAAGGAAATGAATCAAAAACGCTTTCAAATATAATGAAGCTGATTACTATACAAAAAAATCTACCATTTCCAACTAAGACGACAAACCATAAGCAGACAATATAGGCCGATAATTTTTTGAAATCGAAAATTTTCAATTAAAATCAGGTCCTGTTCTGATTCGAACCTCGGCCCGTAGCATCCTCAGTCGACTTAATGTGCTGAAGCTGAGAAACTTGAAGTGTATATTCCGATTTAGTAACGCTAGCTAATTGCAAGCATATTGAACAAATAGCGTGTCACGTACTTCCGGCGCTTCAATCAGATTGCTGAAGGTAAAAATTGCTTGCATATAAAATATATGCAAAAACTAAAATGCAACCGTAAAAACAGACAGGGCAGCCAAGTTGGACAGGGCGCCCAAACAAAACAGCTGAAGTTCAAATCCATCAAAATCATACAAAATCAACACAAATTCGGTGGTATATAAACCAGCCGAAAATGCGCGATTGTTATATAATAGTTATGCAACAATTATATAACAGAAACGAAAGTTATGCAAACTTTTTGGTTTCAAATGACGTAACTTTTCGGATGGTTTATATACTCTGCGCATTTTCGGTTGGTTTATACTTCGGCTGGTTTATTCACACTCACAAAATTCAATGTCAAAATTCAGCCGAAAAGAGAAAATTGTGTTTACTAATTATGAATAGAAAAAAAACTGGAAATAATGCAAACGGAACACAGAACTTGAAAGAGATCCCAACCGGAGCAGAAAAATCAACAACGAGAACGTAGATGCTTCAGACTTAACGAATGCGCGACGACTAGAGGGGGCGGTCGAAGCAAAGCAAGAGAGGTGGCCGAAGACATTATAGCCAGAAGGGGGACATGACATAACTCATTCAGTCAAAGGAGGAACTTGAAACAGACCTCAAACAATTAAAAAACTGGAAAGAGCCGAGACAACGACAATAAATCTAGATGGAACACTTTTCTGGGTGAAAAGCAAAAGATGGATCTCAAAAGGAAAACACCCAAAGATAAATGGGGATAAAACAGTGGCTGGGCCCAGTCAAAGACGTACCAACTAAGCTTAAAGACCTAAAAAGGTCCAATCTCCAAAACAACTCGGCTTCAGATCTTATTATTAAATCAAGAAAACCCTAAAATGGTTGACAGAATACAACTGCACTTTCCATATTAAACAAAAACTTTTGAATAAATCTCATTTGCAAAATCATTAAAATCAATAAAAAAGATCGTTTAACTTCATTCTGAATTTCATATGCCCGAAATTATATCATTGGCTGCTATCAACAATTTAACCCATCAAAATTAAGTTTAAAATATCAGAATTCTCTTTTAGTTTGATTTCAAAATATCATGAAAACGTCACTTCCGAAAACCTAAAAAAACTGACCTATAACATAAGAATGGAGGCCACATCTGCAACTGCTGCTAGTAAAATGACATCACCCCACCAAAGGTCGACCATTTCTTTTTTTTTTTAAGTTCAACGCTAAGTTTTTTTAAACCGAAAAAAAAATGCCATATCTTGGAAAACAAAATGCGTTGAGTCGCCATAACGAGTCCAGATATGAAACTCCTGAGAGTACATTGAGAGCATGCCAGTCTTGACAATGTCAAACTTCGATTTTTTTGAATCTTAAATTATGAAAACTTTTGCCAAGCACAAAAAAGGCATATCTCGAGGATTTGAGCAGTCAAAAAAGGAGGCGAGATTTGCAATCTCTGAGAGTACTGTTGGACATCTCGAAACTATAACCTTCTGATTCAATGTTTTAACATTTCGAAAAAATTTTAAAATGTCATATCTCGGAATCTTATATCTTTGCAGCCACCTTGTAGCACCAACCTATAGGGTTGTTAAGTTTGATTTTTGGTGAACTTTTTTAATTTCCAGTTTTTGACAACTGTGAAACATAGAACTTGAAAGAGGTCCCAACACGGACAAAAAAATCTGCAAAAGAGAATGTAGACGCTTCAGACTAAACAAATGCGCAAGGGCTAGAGGGGGCGGTTGAAGCAAAGCAAGGCAAACCCTTACCTGGATGAAAATCGAAAGATGGATCTAAAAAGGACAACACCCAAGATAAATGGGAATCAAAAAGTGGTTGGACCCAGTCAAATAAGTACCAACAAGGCTTAAAAACATAGAAGGGTCCGATCTCCAAAACTACTCGGTTTCAGATCTTATTTTTAAATCAAGAAAACCCTACAACGGCTGACAGAATACAACCGCACTTTCCATATTAAGCAAAACTATTGAAAGAATCTCATTTACGAAAAACACTTACCTCATTAAAAAGATTCCTGTTTAAGTTTGTTCTGTATTTTCATATGCCCGAAAGTATATCATTGGCTGCTATCAACAATTTAATACAGCATAATTAATTTTAAACATCAGACTTCTCTCAGTTTATTTTAAACATTCAAAATATCATGAAAACGTCACTTCCGAAAACCTAAAAACAATTTGACCTATAACATAGGAATGGACGCAAAAACTGCAAGTGCTGGTAGTAAATTAACATCACCCCACTATAGGGTTGACCATTTTAGTTTTTTTTTAAATGAAAATTTTTATATCGGAAAAAATGCCATATCTTGCAAAATGAAATGCGTTGAGTCGCCATAATTGGAGTCCAGATATGAAACTCCTGAGAGTACATTGAGAGCATACCAGTCTTGACAATGTCAGATTTCAATTTTTCTATATCTTAAACTTACGAAAAATTTTGACGAGCATCAAAAACCGGCATATCTCGAAAGATTTGAGCAGTCAAATTTGGAGGCAAGATCTGCTCTGAGTGTACTGTAGGACATCTCAAAATTATATCAGTATGATTCGAATTTTTAATATTTCGAAAATTTTGAAAATGTCATATCTGGGAAGCTCATATTTTTACAACCACCTGTGCTTACCCTTCTAGCACCGAGCTATAGGGTTGCAAAGTTTCATTTTGGTGAGGTTATTTAGTTTTCAGTTTTTGACAACTGGAAAATCATAAAAAAACGTCATATCTCAAAAACTAAAAACATTTGATTAGTCACATTTAGAGGCTATACATGCAACTAGTAAGATTAAAGTGACAGCGCCCAATAACAGGGTTGGGAGTTTCACTCTTCCGATTATTTTGAAATAATCTTAAAAATTGTCGTATCTCGTTAAGTAAAAGAAGTTGGGTATTCAAATTAGGAGGCCAAACTCGCAGCCCCTGTGGAAGCCCTGACAGCATCCCACTATTGGGTTGCTAATTTCAAACTTTGTGATATAAACATCGCAAAAAAATAATCATTACAATAAACGATATAGCTTACGCTTGAAAATTTTTTTTCGTTATACATGCTATAATACTCTGAAAAAACTTAAATATGGCAAAAAAGTGAAGCTCGTGTTCAAATATATACAAAGAAGCGAAGCTTTGCAAACACTAGCGACAACACGACAAAAAGCAGCTCTTAAAAGGCAATTAGAAATCAACCTCGAATTCGTAGAATTACTGCTACGTCTGAGATTCGAACCTGCGACAGAGATTCAGAACCTAAAAAATTAACCATTCAGCCACGGACACTTAATAGGTACCAAACACTAGCCGCAAACAACGCAGATAACAGATGCTATGCAATTTCCAATGCTACAGTGAAATTTCCAAATAAGTGAACACTTAATGACCACATATTTGCGAGTTAGGTTAGAAAAAAAGAAGGTTCGCAATAATACACTACGCTCATCGCTAGCATAAAAAGACAAATTAATTGACCAGAAGAAATTTAATTAGCAATAACTAGAAGTATCAACCCCCATTTTTGATCGTACTCGCTGATGTTTTGAAAGAAAACAAGTCGTTAGTTTTTCGGAGCAACTAAAAATTCAAATTATTGAGAAGCAATATTTTAGCTAGGCACTACATACAAATTCCAACCTAAACAAAAAAATATTGAAAAAAGGGTTAGTTGTTGTAGTGGTTTTACAGAAATGCTGAAGGGCTGATTGATCCGTCGTTATTCGTCAAAGCATTGTCCAGTTATTACGAGTTTTGACAATCGCAAAATAATTGTCATGAGCAAAAGTTTCGCTCAGTAAATTTTTCTTCACAGATTTTCTGAGTTTTTTTATTCTATTTGTGAATCGTATCATTTCTAACCTTTGTAAAATTTTCTAACCGATTTATGATTCGACATGTTTTGAACACCAATTCGTTTCGCGCTTTTCGGAGATCAATTGATTTTAAGAATCAAGGAATTGCAATTTATGTAAGCCCCGTGTGGATCAAAATGTATCGTAGAAATCGCCAAACAGACCCTGCTCAGTTGTGGAAATACAAAATGTATCAAAAATTCAACTTCTGAATTGACTGTGGATGTGACTCGCGATTGGTTCCCCGAAAAGTAGGTTCCTAAATAAACATTTTCTTTTTAATTACTATTAAATCTAGTACCTTGAAATCAACAGGAGTTGGTTCTTTCAGCTCTGGATCCAAAAGACTGACATGTTGCATCAGAAGCGGTTCCTCTATTTTGTTCCATTGTGTTTGGGCGCCCAAATTTAGCTGCTCCCATTTGCAGTTTTTACCCGCTACGAAAACTTTCGACTCTTTCTGTAGAACCTGCGCAACTACCCCTCTTTTGCCCTTGTCTTTGCCATAATGAATATAAACATAATCTCCTTTGAACAAGTATTGAACGGGAATAATTGGTCTAGCCAAACGCTTAGGCCAATTTCCTAAAACATTTCTGGTAATATCCATATGGGTTCCTGGTTCATATTCAGTTTCTTCGTATGAAGGATGCTTTGGATGCTTGATCATCTCCTTGGGAACCCTGACACTGCGCACAGCTGATGAAGAAAACAACCGATAATTTCGCAAATAATTCATATCTGAAAAATATAATCAGAAGGTCAAAAGTATCATAGTATGTGACATTCGACCAGAATGTGAAAAATGCAATCTCTGCAGAATTCGGAATTTTAGCAGTAAGCCTTCCGGATTGGTGGTTTTTAAGAACTAAGGGCGTTATTGGAACGTTTAGCCAAACGGTGAAGGCTGGAATATTCTAGTATTTTAAAATTTTAAAAATTCGAATGATGACGTCACATTTCTGAGAAATGCTGAAACGGCCATTTTAACAGAAAACGAGTGAAAAAACACAACAACAACATTAGTTGCGCTGACGAGAACAACTTTATCGAAATTGAAGAAGTCGAAATTGAAGAAAAACAGCAGCAGATTGCAGAGAGCGTTCCGGGTTGCAACTATTGTGCTGCTACAATAGTTGCAAGGCCGTTGCGAACAACGGTGAAGGGTAAGAAACCAGCCTTCCGTGTTGTCGTGAAATCGAACTTAAGGAGCTTGATTCACCGGATTCAAGAATCCGGAAGGGTCTCGGGACGGAAAACTTTTATTGACTCATATGAACTTTTAGCATCCTGTCATGTCCTGACTTGAATTTAATTGATATTTGGATTAGTTTTGACAAGGATGAGGTGCTAAGAGTTGGGGGGGGGGGGAAAGGGTTGATCCATCTTCGATGGAGATGATGATTTTTATCTACTGAACAAAAACAATAGTAATATAATAAATAGTAGCCCTGTTTTTAGGAGTGACCTCGTGGTCTGGGGATACTGAGACCCAGCCATGAGCTCACTATTTTTGCATGTAATTCAGTTAATTTGAGCGTTCTGGTCGAAGCCGGAGAACAGTGACGTTTTTGTCGACCCGATGTAAGAAAGACCACCGAAAAGTACTGGCTTGGTAGAGACGGTGAAAAACATGCAAAGCTCTGTTTAGACGCTAGCCAGTCGTCTTAAGACTTAGTTTTGTTATCCGTCGATATGTATCTTCCGGGCGAATGTTACATGTATGTTTTTATGGCGCTCCTGGGTGTTATTTTTTCATAACATCATGACCGGCGGAACCGTTAACGAGCACTCCGCGCCGAGCGGATGCTCACATTAACGCCCTTAATAGGCCTAAACTGCCGGGGCGGAAGGGTAGTTCGGAACGCGGAAGCCTTCCGGATTACCGTCAATAGTTTTTTAACCTAGTTAAGACCGAAAATTCACGAACCAGGAAGGGTGGGGGGAATCATGAACCCCTCATCTCCTGAGTGGTTTGTGACCAAAAACACTTAATGATATAAGCAAAACCAAACAAAAAGTAGTATAGTACCCAAGAAAAACAAAAAACATAAAAAATAACCGAAAAAAAAACCAAAAACAGTAAAAAAAGTAAAAAATCAGTAGAAATCATCCCCCCAGACAAGATGTGATTCAACCCCCCCGTTTGTTGTTGATAGATATTTTGTTGTTACAGGCATTTATATCAGTCAGGATCGTTACGATCAATTTTGTGGCCCGTTTGTGAGGCTTGTACTGTAGGGTTATTTGAGCATTTAAGCACGTTAATGATAAATTGCGCTCAATCCGGAAGGGTCAGCTGATTTGCGCTCAATTCGGAAGGGTCCTGGGTGAAGACCGATCCGGCAAGCAGTACAAGGAGCAACAAGAAGGGGCTCAACGACAACAACAATCGACTGTTGGGTATCGTTAACAAGTTTTGTATCCCTTTTGGTACAAAAAGTAAGATAGTAATCTGTGGGGGGCTCGACAGTGCTGCACTGTAGTAACCCTTCACCGAACTGCGAATATCCGAGTTAAGCACCTTAATTCGGATAATAAACAAACCCGGAGGGGTATAGTATTACTAATATTATTACTTATATAGCCTATATCAATAGTCTTATATCGTTTTTCAGTGAAAAACAACGAAAACAGACCGGTTTTTGGGGTCAAAATAGCGATATTTTGATCCCCCCACAAGTCGCGATTTTTGAGATATCGATATTTTTTGAAAAGGAAAAAAGCACTAAGTTAGTGTGTTACATCGTAACTGCACTACTGTAATAGGTAGAACCGGTTAACTTTAGTTCGGAAGTGGTTGGAACTAGTTTGGTACCAAAAACCAAATTTTCCCATTTTTTGATAGTAAGAAGCACTATAAAATCAGAAAATTTTTTTGAAATCTTTGAGTTAGGACAGTAAAAATAGTTGTTCGGACAACTTCGACTAGTGAATCTACGAGTTTTAAAACCCGCTACCCGAAAGCCTTCCGGGTTGCAGAGAAATCGAACATAACGTGTTTGATTTGGTGGATTCATCAATCGGGAGGGGTCCAGGTAGCATAGTTTTTCGCAAATTTTTTCTACAAAAGCGTTTTAGATCGGGTCTTTTGCCTTGAACTAGAAGAGTATAGGCCTTCCGAGCTCAGATCAATAATTTTTAGTTCAAAAGGACCAGATTTGCGGAAAAAGTTAGGCGGAACCTATAAGAGAGAAAATTTTTGAGTTTGGAAAAAAGACGTTTTGGTTAATAACTTTGGAACTACAGAGCATATCGAGTCAATCTTGGTACCATTAGATCAGAAATTAGCTGAACTTACTAGTAGGAAAGAGAATTACTCGAAAAAGCAAGCGAGAAAATTTTTTGAGATTGTTTTTAGCAAATTACACAAATCCGGAGGGGTACACACTTCACGTTTTATAAATTTTTCTGAAAAACCCTTATACCCCTACCAAAAGTTGATAGCGATTGAACTAAGTAACTTAGGACAGTTCTAGACAAAAAGGGAGGGCTGAAGGCACAAGACAACCAAAATAGAGTCGAAATTAGGCAAGTGATAAGACCCTTCACCGTTAGTGTGAATTGTCAAATAAGTGCCTTAACTTCAATCCGGAGGGGTCTAGGAAAGGACCCTATACCCTTCCCAGTTAATTCAAACAGCATAAAAGCAACGCAGAACGTATCCGGAGGGGTATAAGCTGAAATTAAGAAAGCTACGAAAAGCTACTTTGACAGAGCTAAGGGCTCCCAATCCGGAGGGGTCGAAATTTTTCAAAGTCAGAGATGTCCGAATCCGGAGGGGTCTTATAGTTGCTAATTCGGAGGGGTCCAAATCCGGAGGGGTCTACTATTAACTAACTCGGAGGGGTCCCAATCCGGAGGGGTCCATATTCTGACAGTCCGGAAGGGTCCTATTTGTGCCAATCCGGAGGGGTATTATTTTATTAAGGACTTAGGTAAACGAAAGAAAGACTAAAAAGCGAGAGGTATTAGGTTATTAATACACAGGCTAGGTATCAGTGACTGCACTGGTAACTTGCCTTTCAAAAAGAACCAGACTAATACAAAACAGGTCCGAACTCGGATATTCGCGACACTAAGTCTAAATTAAAAAGAGCGTGACTCATTGGTGTGGATTGGAACATAATACGTTTTTGGGAAAAGTGACTGCCCTGAGGATTTTAGTAGGTCTAGCTCGGGCAGTCCGAAGGCAGATAGGTAACACAGTACTCGGTGGGTGCAATAGACGCCCACTTGAGAAAATAACTGCCTTCAAAGTTTTTTCTGTTTGGTGCAGCACCAAGCAGGGAAAGCTTTTTCTTTAAAAGACAGGTTCGACTATTGTACTGCGACCGACTAAGAGTACAAGACACATACGTTTTTTTATATATACATTCATATTGTGTCAATATATATTTTTTGTTTTTGATTTTAAATCAACCTAAACTGTGTTTGATTGGGTAGTGAGTACACTATCTTTTAAATTGACTGATAACATCATATTGTGCTAGTTTCCAGATCTTTGGACCGATAATCGGCTAGTGTGAATAAATTTTATACAAACTGTACTCTGACAACATACAGGGATTCGTGGTCACTATTTAATAGAATCTGGTGAAATTTATTGTGTTGTGTCATTATTATTGTTAATAAAACTATAAGGTCTCTAGCAATTGAGTCAAGAGTAGGCATAGGAAAGTGACAAATAAAGAATGAGTTTAGACAAGTCAAGGATACCAAAACGAGGTAATAGCTCTAGGAAATTCATACCTGAAAAGCAAAGAAAAACGATGACCGATCCTTTTGTGGATTGGATCAAGCGATCCCGGTCCGATAAAGAGGAGACGGTTTCAGGCAGAATGGTTGAAACGAGAAGTCAGAAGACCTCAGAAGAGCAAAGAGAACTGTTAGAAGTGGAGGTCAATACGGACCATACCATGAACGACAACCAGGAAGTAAATGGACTGGAAGGGAGAGGCAGAAGGCTGGCGAGTGAATCTACTCCGGTGGAACAAGGCCAAGATTTTGCCACTTCCACCGGGACATTTGATCGGGAAGAGATGTCGGAACTGTCCGACATCTCAACTGAAGTAGCGACAACTAGAAGATCTCCGACAGACAACACTATGATGGCAAGCGGAAATGGGAAGCAAACAACGTCGTCATCGTTCTCAGAAAGAATGAAGAACACCTTAGGAAACTTCTTTCCATTCAGCATGGGAGGAGGAGCAGGAAACGATGGTGAGTCCCAGGAGGATGGGGAAGATGAAGAAGAGCAAGGGGACTTTGGATCTCAAGTCAGCCTCAATAGTTCGATCCAGGAGAGTGAGGCACACGCCGGAAGAGAGACTGGAACCATGGACAAATTTGGTGTAGTGACAACGATAAGCAAGGAGGCAAACACACCGGGCCAGTCAAAGGACTTCGCGATTAGGACAAGTTCGGAGCCACAACCTGAAGAGAGCAGAACCAGAGGGCTCGGCAATGCGTTAATGGATCCTGAAATAAATAATGAAAAGACGTTGAAGTAGAGAGTCAAGGCCCGGATCTCGACAAGCACGAAGTTACCTGGGACCGGCAGGGTTACACCGCCACTAGTGACGCCACTCGTGGATAACGGGGCAGCACTAGAGGAAGCCTTAAACAACATAGTGGGCAGTTTAGGAGAACAAAATGAACAGATGTCGATAAGGATGAGTGAACTAGAAAGAGCAGTTCACATTGAAAGAGAAAGTCTGCGGGAAGAAATAAACCGCAACAGACAAGAAGTTGGCAGAAGC